CTTCGCGATTCGCCAGTCTCATTCCCTTAACTTTACTGCCTTTTGAACGTGATGGAGGCTCTTCATCCCCCTCTGACACAATTCTTGGTTTACCAAAGGCATGGTCTGGTCAGGACGTTGGCTTTTGGGCAGCATCTAAAGCTCCAGGTTCTGCCAGTAGACCTGGTATTGCCGCCTTTCGCGTGCGCGGTCAAGCGGTTGGTTCTACACGACTCAGGGTACGATCAGATGTCAACATTGGACTAATCGGAGCAGGTGTCCTTAGCAATGCGGCGGAGATTAATGTGAGTAAACCTTTTTGTAAAACTGTGCTTCCAATATTAGAGGGCGAGTCTTTGAATATTTGACTGAAGGTGTAACTTAGAGAAGCAAATCGAGGTCTTCGTTTGGCTTCAGATATATTTTCTAGTTCGTGCGTCTTTTTCTTCGTTTTTTCTTTCCATGCTCCTTGATTTGACTGCAAGCCTCAAATGTCTTTTACACTAGCCGAGTGCCGTATTGACCGATCACACTTATATAGGAATTCGTTTGGTAGTGAAGGTCGTACTCATGTGTAGTTGAACCTCAGTGATTTTCCATGCAGTGGAATTGTTTTAAACAATTACCGACGATTTGACGGGCCCTCAGGATTTAACTATTTTTCTTTTGTTTATGCTCCCCATAATGACATTACTGATATTTATGACTATGCTCATTAAGACTTTTTCACAGTCTGGCCGAATTAGAAATATCCGTACATGACTTTTACATTCATCACTGCCCGACTTTATTCATCACTCCTTCGTGCATAAATAGATAAGACTGAACGGGCGTCATTTTATTACGTGTGAGGCAATTTTCTATTTGAAATGTAAAAGTCAAGCAACATTTCTCAACTTTCGTCCACCCCCTCCCACCACATCTTTTTATACAGATTTTCTCCCCCTTGCGACTCGAGCCATGCAACTTTAACCTCTTGCTTGGTGGGGCCTATGAAATCAACGCCTTTGGCGGTCCGCAGCCGCGGAGCCTTGATTTTAGCGTTTCTGGCAGCGGCCAACAGTCCTTGGAAGTACAACTTTCTTCCATCTCAACTACAGAGAATGGCGTCCTGGTTCGAGCAGGTTTGGGTTCTACCGGGACCGTTGTAGTCAAGGCCAAGGCTTTCAGCACCACCGGCTACGCCAACCTTGACGTAACGGATTTCGATTTTTGGAATCTCTCTGTTCCTACTAGCGCCCTGTCCTCTGAGGTACGTTCCGTAGTGACCTATCACCCGTTAATAATTATTTAGCAACTACGATATGCAATGC